TCCAAGATCAAATATTTAGAATTTCTTCTGCAATATTAATAGTAAAACTAAAGTTAAACAAATCTATTGGCACGTTATTTTCCATGATGAGAAATTTAAAAGATTTTTGATATTTTTGAAATACAAGCGGACTACAGTGAGTCTTCTACACAGGGTTCCAGATTGATTTTGGGAGAGAGGTGCTAAAAGTTTGGCAGAAAGTTCATCATTTTTTCGCAAAAAGTCAATGTTATTTCTGTTAAATTTCTCGCAGAAAATCGATATTATTCGTGTCAGATTTCAGAACTTTAGCAGAAAACGCGACAAAAATAACAGCAAGTGCTTCGGAAAATATTTGGTGGTAATAGCATCGACTTTCTCTGATAAATTGGCTAGAAAAACTTCGATCTTCTGGGAAAAATTCGATGAAAAGGAGAGTAACTTTCTGAGAGAAAGTTGGCAAAATGAGCGTGATTTTCTGAAAGAAATTCAGCATAGAGGACTTGACTTTCTGAAAGATATCTGCCAGAAACAATATTGACTTTTCGTGAAATATTTGGAAGAAAAGACTTCGACTTTCTAAGAGAAATTTAGCAGAAAGAACACCAAGTTTCTGCAGAAATTCGGTTGAAGGTGAATCTGATTTGATTTTGTTCCACCAAATTCAAGAATTTTTTACCGTAGTGGAATATAAAAAAACTTCGCGGGAAGTATTATCAAAACTTTTGGCAGAAAGACTGAAATTTTTGGGAGTAGAAGCTCCTCTCCCATCCTCCTAATCCGTAAGCCAACTTCTACAACAGACAAATTAGTCCCTATTCTAAGATTAAGTGCAAAACATTTCCAACATTTACCTTAAGTTTGTAGTAATTCGATTGGCGAATATACATAAAAAAACAGCACTCTTACATGATGATGGCAAAAAATAATGGAAGAAAGCATTAACGAAAGGAACGTCAAACGAAAAATTATCTATATTTATAATAAATTTCTTGTTATTTCACACTGATAAGTGCACTGTTTTTATTTAATTCATCACTGTGAATCATACATTATTTATCTATACTTCAGAGTCATAATTTACGAGTTTTTTCAGATTTTTTTTTTAATAGGACGTATCACAATAACAGATATGTTCATTTTTAGTGGCCTATTAAAACTAACAAAACAGATGTAAACATCTCATTTGTAGAATTCAGATAAAGAAGTAAATTGCACAACCTATATGAATGGAAAAAATTAACTTTCTATCTTGTTTATGAACAAAGGAATACGCAATAGAAAAATGTCGCAAAACTTTTATCTCACCGTTTAGATAGAAATATATGTATGCGTTCTTTATATTTTATTTGATTTTATTTCAAAGAAAAAGAAAAGAAAAACGAGAAAAGAAACCTTGAAAATAAAGATTAATTTTTTAACTTATGAGAACTTATTCGTACTGATGAGATATAGAAAATCTTAAGAAATAGTGAGAGAAAGAGAACGATTAAATAATCTGAAAAAAGAATCAGAGAAAGGTGATAGACGAGATGAATATAAAAAGAAGAAGCGATAGAACTGCAACTGGAAACAGAAGCCCATATCATTGTACTAAAAGGAAAAATTAAAAACTATTTCTTTAGAAAAGAAAAATACTATTCGTTGTTTGAAGCTCGCTGCTTACTCACAGTGAATAATAAGTGACATATGATATGAGAAAAGTTCCAAACAATGAGCTTTGTCTATGCTAGTTTCACCTAAAATAATTCTTACTTTGAAGAGTATCATTTGCTTGCACTATAACAATAATATACAGTGTATTTTAATTAGAGAATCAATTTTTTTTAACTACAACTAATATACACATAGAGTACAATATTCGAAGTTCTGCTCTCAAACAGATCACCTTAACTTCACCACGGAAAAACGGCTAATTTCACAGTTGAGGTGGTACTCTCCTTTCTTAAAAGAACAATTGTCGACTTTCCTTACTTTTTCTTTCCAACAGCAAAGTCGGATTATGCAGGTATATATAGACGTAAAGAGGTAAACGTGTTTGTACATATATGTTATCGAATTAAAAGATAAAGTTCTGAAATACATCCTATTCGATGTGAATTGACCATTTTCTATTTCTACTAAAATGATATGATCTTCTGTCTCCAGTTTCATTTCACTCGCTTCTGACATCAGATTATGTTTTTTATCTTTTCTTTTTATATTTAACTCACGTACGACACTTCTACTAAGTTTTCTCTTTCTTAAACTTCAATCTCTTATTGAATGAATAACAAAAATTCTAGTTAATATTATTTTCTTGACGAAAGAGTATTACTGATAATTTTTCTACATCTCATCAGTACTAATAAGTTTTCATCAAAGTAAAAGTTAATCTTCATTTTTTTAAAGTTTCTTTTCAAATTACCATTACAAAAGCTAAATAATACGTATCTTATATAGGAGACGTTGCATGTAAGCTCCGATCAACGTTGCTCAATTGATGTCACCGATTTGGCTGATATTTTTACATTAGGTAGACCTAAAAGACTTAGGAAGAAACTGAAAATTTCAGTTCAAACGGATGAGTCATTTTGTAGATATAGACAATACAAGTATGAGGGGAGTAGGTTCCATTTGGAGCACCTTATAGAGGAATACTTGCCAGTAAATCTCCATTTTCTCGAGAACAACTAAAGATATAACCGAGATTTTTTCACCCTAAATACTATCGATGATGGGCTATACTTTTACGGTAACAAAAGTGTCCCATCACTGAATGATTTTTTCCTGGCATTATTTACCATTTTCAGAAAACATCCTCACATAAATACGGCAAGTTGGTCGAATCAGCGCACTAGAATAAAGCGAGAGTAGTCACATTTGAAAGAGCACATCAAAATGCATCGACTGACGTTTTCAAAAGTTTGTAGGATTGAACTTTTAGCAAAAACGTTTTTGAACAAGGCTGGACAGGCCGAATTCGGAGTCCGATTCTCACTATGCAGATTGACGATTTATTTTCAAATGTTTGATTAAGCCCCCCCCCCCCCCCAGAAACGAACTTTGTTATTTTCTCATCCGATTCCAACCAAAATTTATGTCTAAAGCATCTCCTCCAAATCTCAAAGTTATACACGAGTTCTAGACACTTTATTGGTCAAAAATAGGGCAAATTTGTTGCAATAAAGATACAAGCTAGAGTGATGTGGCGGCTTTCAGATTGTAGAGTGCCCTTAGGGATAGGACTTAACAAGATCCGATTTTTGAATTTCCCTTTATTTGATTTTTAAAAGACGTTTTTCGAAAAACTTTCAAATTCAAGGTGCTAATGAAAATAGAGTGTCTCAGCTTTTCATTTCAGCAAAAGAGAAATTTAAAAATTGGATCCTGTTAAGTCCTAGCCCTGCATGTCTCCTATATAATAAAAAAAACTTATTATTTCCATGTCGAATCGTTATGGAGAAAAAACTGCCCGTACGCACTGCACACACGAAAAACCTGATTTTGAGAAAAACGAAAAACTAGGCTTTTTAACGCAGTAAGTGTCTTTATTCGAAATAAATCTATTTATCTTCCTAATATATTCACACTATTCATCAAGCTATATTGATAGCCTATATGGGGACACATCACAATATGGGCAATGGTATACATCGTACAGAAATTGTGGCCGTAGTTCCTTATACGTAGATGTCACGTCATGTTACGGATGTTTTATCAAATGTATGGTTAGTTCGCGTAATTATATTTATAAATTTTTATCTATTCAAAATGGTTGTATATATTTCTCTGGATGCTTTGATAACGAAAATGGTTATTCCTTTGTGAAGACCTCGAAGAAAAATTTGTTTAGTGACTTTTCAACCAATCGTACCTCTGAATGTAAAAAAGTGGTTTCTGCTATATTTAAGTCGGCTGACTGCACGAAGTACAGTAGCCGACTTATTGCTTTTCACTCGCTTAGTTGCCATGGTAAATTCTTCTTCTGCTTCTTCTTCTTCTCCTTGTTCTCGATGCATGAGTCACGATTCAAGTCAGCCACTCGTTCTCAGCTTCTGAGCATCATTTTCAGTCGGAAAAAGCCTTGACGAGACCCTGAGAACATGACGAGTGCACATCTGAAATCCTTTTTTCGAAATTCGACTCCAATCGGGAGATAGAAATACAACGAAAACAATGATAATTACGTATGAGTCACGATTTAAGTCAGCCAGTCGTTCTCTGTAACTAATGATGTTTTCAAACTGAGAAAAAGATTGCTGAAATCGTGAGACCGTGACGATTGCACATCTGCAAGGGTGGGTGTGGGTGTAAATTGACTTTCGTTAAACAACACTCAACACTCATACTCAACCACACCGCACACGCCCACGCCTACGCCCACCCATATCCACACCTACCCACACCCACACCCTCACTCACACACCCACACACACCCCACACTCACACCCACACCCACACTCACACCCACACCTACACCCACACACACCCACACCTACACCCACACACACCCACACCCACACCCACACCCTATTCACGATGCTCTTGTTCCGTAATAGTACGACGAGTTTTGATTTTTGAAATAGTGAAATCGATAGCCCAGATCAAGATCTAGTATCTAGTTTTTGAAATAAGCCATTACCAGAGAACATATAAAACTTTTGAACTGTATAAGATAAAGATCTGGAGTTGTTCTAGAGTTTTAGAACTTGATCTGGGCTATCGATTTCACTATTTAAAAATCAAAACTCGTCGTACTATTATGGAACAAGAGCATGTGTGAATATTGTAGAGAAATATTTACTATGTAAAATTTTATATGTAGTTCTGATATTTAGAACTATTACGTGCCCTGCAACGCTCTATCGGATGATGAAAATCGCAGATCTATATCATGTTCTTTTCAAAAGTTATAGCCATTTTCTCGGACCGCCTTCTTTCCAAAAATGGATACTATATCGTGCATCAGATATTTTAGACAAAGTTTAGTTTAATGTTTATCAAAGTGTATTTTCACTTTGAAAATAATTCACTGATAATCATTGTAAATTGTTTTGAGCAAGCATTTTATAATAAGCTCCACGTCGTTGTATCAGTTGTGTATGAGTACCATTTTCTACTATATGTCGACTAGCCAGCACATAAATCATATCACATGAACGAATTGTTGAAAGACGATGAGCAACAATGAGTAATGTTCGATTAGGGTCTTCCATTTGAGCTTTTACAAGAGCTTCTTGAACAATCTATAATTGACAAATGAAGATGATATTTGAATTTCTAAGCGAAAGAAAGGAAAACATACTTGTTCATTGTGTGAATCCATAGCACTCGTAGCTTCATCTAAGAGCAATACTTTAGGTCGACGAACAAGAACTCGAGCAATAGCAATACGTTGTTTCTCACCACCCGACAGGAAACTGCCTTTCAACCCTACTCTTGTTTCGTAACCCTAGAAAACAGATCATACAATAATATTAGATACATTATATAATTTTTATTGATCAACCTGAGGCAGTTGTTCAATAAACTGATGAATGTTAGCTCTACAAGCTGCATTAACAATGTCTTCCATTGGAATATTTTCTAAGCCATATGTTATATTTTCAGCTATTGTTAAATCGAACAAGATTGGTTCTTGACTCACAAGGCCAATCTGAGAACGAACCCAATGTAGGTTTAGTTGTCGAATATCAATACCATCAAGAAGCTAGATTGAATAGACAAATTTTATATAATTACTTAAACTATAAGTAAAAGATATACTAACTAGTTGGCCACTTGTAACATCATAGAATCGTTCTAAAAGTTGAATAATTGTCGATTTTCCACATCCAGATGTACCTATATAGATCATAGTACGCAAATAAAATTTAAAAGAAACATTTAATTCAAACATACCAACAAGAGCCACACGTTGACCTTATCAGTGAATACCAATTTTTAAAAAAAAATGATTAAATCAAAATTCCTCTGACTTACTTGGCTTGAGATTCAGCTGAAACTTTTGAAGAATAATCGATGTTGGTCGAATTGGATACATGAATTTGACTTGATCAAACTCTATCTTACCACGAAAATTAACCTACACAAACCATAGTATATCCATCGTATGTTTATGACTGAAAGAAAATTGTGATCTTGTAGATTCGCTTACCAATTCTCGCCCTTCAGTAGATGTATTGTCGATAGCTGGTTTTCGATCAAATAAATCAAAAAATGTTTGAGCAGCTGAGACTGATGCAGCGATACGCTTAGATCTACAATGTAGACAGTAGAAGAAAAAGCAAAGTAGATATTTAGAATGTTACGTCATTCCGATCAATTTTAGTGCCCGTAACGAAAGAATAACAAAAGCAAACACCCTAATAAATTGAAAAGGTAATACAACATTATCGCTAAATTATCAAACTTTTGTTTCAATTACATCATAATACGGTTCGAGGTAAGTTCTTTCTTTTCCACAAGGACAAGAGCACGCCAATACACAAACGCCATAGTATATGACTCTGTTATCCAGTATATACCATATGCAATTGAATGTAGTATCACAGGTTTCCAAGACGATCTATGAAAAAACAAGATCAATTAGAAATGTATACATTTATAGAATCTGACTAACTAACCTAAATACTTGATGAATAAGTTTGGAATATAGTCTTAAAACTTCCTTTTCTGCTGACAACTGTTTTATTGTACGCATATTGTGAATAACTTCAGTAGCAAACTGCGCAAGTGAAAGACAAAACGAATGTAGTGTATTTGATTTACAAAAAACAAATAATATAATAATTTTTTGTACAAAACAAAGGTTATCAGCTATAGCCTGATCTTACCGAGCTTGCTTGTCCGATAATTTGACCTGATTTTTTATTCAGCCGTACTTGTAAGGACAAATCTGCATAGGAAATTAGGGATAGGATAAAAAAAGGACAAAAAACAATCAATGCCAATTGCCAACTAATGAAACATCCAAATAGAATTCCAAAAAACGGTAGCGCGATAGCTGTACAGATCCCTCCTAATCGTGTACCAGTCATATCTTGGATGGCTGATGCATCAGAAGAAAGACGAACACAAATCGCACCAGAACTATTTTCAGGTCGATCAAAATACGCAACTTCTTGGCGAAGTAGGCATGAGAAGGCTTTCGAACGAATACGTTGCGTCAATTTCGATCCTGATATGGCAAAAGCTGTATACTATAGAAAAGAGTGAATGAATCATTGACGAAATTCAAAAGCAGCATTTCTACCTGAAATAAGCGAAGAATCAGTACGACAACACCCAAAAGTAAAAATAGAAGACTGGTAATCAATATTTGATGACGTTGTTCAGATGTTGAACAGTATTTGAATGCCTACATAGCAAATAAATCGAAATTAGGTGATATCTATTGTCAATCTTTTTGCACGATGTTTTATAGGTGTATTACTCACATCGACTATTTTGGCAAGTAGAAATGCAAACAATGTTTGAGCTCCGCCAAAAAGTCCGCATGCTATACATCCAATCAATATGGTCATCCACTCAGGACTATTCATTGATAAAAGTCTTAAAAAGACGAATCTTCTTGTCAATGGCTTGGAACTTTGCTAAACGAGAGATTATCAATAATAATTTTTATAAATGATTGCAATAGTATTTGTACTTCGTTCATTTTAACAATTTCACTATTGCCAAGTAAACGAGAGCGTTCCACTGTTAAAGAAAAAAGATTAAGAAAAGTTAAGACTATTATTATTTGAATATTAACATACATATCGACTTTTCATCTTCTTCTGTTGCTTTTTGTATGTTCATCAGATCATCGTTGTCATCATCAATTTTTTCCGTTTGTTGACGTTTGATCATTGCTTGATATTTTCCTCCTTCTTTTGCCATTAATCTTTCATGTGTACCATGCTCAATCACAGTTCCATTATCTAATACATATATTTGATGAGCCTTATGAATTGTAGTCAAACGATGAGCAATAACAATAGTTGTACGACCTATACAGAATATTATATATCAATATGATATGCACAAAACAATGATTGTTGCCTTTGCATGCTTGATCGAGCGCTTCTTGAACAATTTTTTCGCTAACATTATCAAGCGCACTTGTTGCTTCATCCAGTAAAAGGACAATTGGTTGCTTGACAAGAGCACGAGCCAATGCAATACGTTGTTTTTCACCACCACTCAACTGTATACCACGTTCACCAACAAGTGTTTCATATTTCTAAACAAGAAATAATAATCCATACATATATATATATAAATATTTGGCACAAACATATGGTAATTGCATGATGAAATTATGTGCATTTGCTTCTCGTGCTGCATTTTCAATTTCTGCTTGTGTTGCATTTACTTTACCAAAACGAATATTTTCATAAATACTCATACTAAACAGAATCTATTACAATACAAAATCAAGTAGAAAGAGAAAAAAGACAAAAGAAAAAAACAAATCATACAGGTTCTTGACTAACAACTCCAATGTTTTTCCGCAGTTGTTTGACATTGTAATCTGTTATTGACCGACCATCGATCGTTATTTGACCCAAGGAAGGTTCATAATAACGAAGCAACAGTGATATACATGTACTTTTTCCTATGAATAAATTATGAATACAAAGAAAATCAGTTTTAACATTTTTGTTTTTGAAAAGACTTACCACAGCCACTTGAACCTACAAGAGCAGTTGTCTGACCAGCACGAGCAATAAGAGAGAGATTATGCAGAACTGATACTTCTCTTCGACATGGATAAGTAAAGTTGACATTGTCCAATTCAATATCACCATAGATATTATAGATCGATTCTGCATCCTCTTTCCATATATCTGTTTCATTGAAGCTGGCTTCATTTCCCTATATCATGTAAACAAATAAAAAATATTGCTATCGATATGAAATCTCAATTTACTAGGATTTACCTCGTCAATAAGTTGAAACACTACTACTGCTGCGCCTCGAGCTTCTGAAAGTGCTTGAAAGAAAATAGCAAAATCACTGTAGAAACTGAAACATCGTGCAAAGCTGCAGACGACCTGCATCAAAATAGTAGTGGTATTATATTCATTTCCTTATTGACTGATGATATGGATTACTTACGACAAGAATATCACTAATATTCAAACTATGATAACCGTTGTGCGACATAAGAAGAGAACCAAAGATAAAACCAACTGCATAAACTAGGTGATTGTTTAGAGATGTCCAACCAATATAAATTCCATATATGAGATCTTTGCGTATGCTACTCCAACGAGTTGAATCCAATTCTCTTTCATATCTAAATGCAATAAAAATAACAATATGCTTTATGATGTCATATGAGTAAACTATTTTTATATGTATCTCTACCGTTTTTGTTCAAATTTGCTACCATTGTGAGAAAGAACAGTTCGCAGTGAACTAAATACTTCTTGAACGATTTGCCCTGCTTTCGAGTATGTCATTAACTCCTTCATTGCTTCATTAGCAGTGAGCTGTGAAAATTCATACAGATTTAATTCATTGAAAAAGACTTCATACCTTAGAAAAGACATGTGAGCTAATAATGAACAGAAGCATCAAACATAGCATGATCAAAGTCAATATCCAATTGATCATGAAAGATGTTATTAAACAACCAATGGTCATGAATAATGTTACCAACAGAGTCAATAATTCAAAACCAATGCCTTTCTCGATCTTTGCAATGTTACTTTACAAGAATTGAATAAGATGGAGTCATTTGATATAAAATATAATAATGGCTTACTCAAACAGTTTAGAATGGAGTTGACCAGTCGGTTTGGTATCCATATAAGAAATGCTCTAAATATAAAGAGAGAAAAAGTCAGAAATGGATGAATTCGACTGAGTGTCATTCTAACCACACCCATATTTGTTGAATTAGAACTCAATTCCAACGTAGATTTTTTGACAACTCTGCCACAACTCTGACTATGAAAAGCCATGCTCTATCTGATGTAACTTGATAAAGTTGAATCCTTTTGCGTTTGCTTCTGTAATCGATATTTTCCCTGTCAAATATTTTTATCTTCATTTAGCAGATTACTAAGTCAACAAAAATTGTATCGTGATTGATAAAAATCTACTAACTCCAACTTGACTCCGGCTGCACTCATCGAATATCAAATTCTACTATAATAGCAACCTAATAATTAAACATACCAAGATGTCTTCTTTCAATTTTAATGATTTTTCGCTCGCAAATACTAAATAGTATTCGAATGGAAACTTTTAAAAGATTTCAGTTTTTATTCAGACTCACGGTTAGTGGAGCCATCGAGCTTTTAATATGTGTATTTTCTAGAGACTCTAATAGAGCTCCAGGTTTTCTGAAAGTCCCTGCTATTGAATGTTTTTATGGAAACTATCGCTATTTGAAAGTCTCATAAACAGCTACTTGTATGCAGAATTTCAGAGTTTATAGATTTTCTATATCCCAGTAGAAATCTTTTCAGAACTAGATGCTTTTCGAAGCATAACAAATAATAGAAGACTATTTTGATGAGTTCCTATTTCAAAGATACAAAATCCATGAATTATGAAACTCTTCATACAAGCTACGGTATATGAGACCTTCAAATAGACATAGCTTCAAGACAAAACTTAAAAACATGATTTCTCTGACAACTAGGGGTCCTGTAGGGTCTCTAGCAAATAAATGTTCCAAATATGCATTAGCTCCGCTAAGTCTCAATAGGAAATGAAATCTTTTTTAGGGTTTTCACTAGAATATTATGTAGTATGTATTGACAAAAAAAATTATTGAAACCTGAAAATGACATCTGGAAAAGTTCCCTTGTATGTTGATTTAGTTTCAGTCCAACTCCCAGAAATAAAAGTGCCTAGTCCGATTTTAACTGGTGCACCTCTGAGCAGACTAAAGTCATTTCCATACACAGTAATTTAGGAAATAAATAATACGCTTGAAATAACAATAGGAGTTTGCCAATTTTTCTTTTATACAGACCTAGAGTTACACTATTATGATTTCAGTTTTTCAGAAATAATACTAGCTACACTATTTGAAAAATGTGTCAATAATGAAGGAGCCTGTCTTCATAACTGTGAAATCATGATCTACTGAACTCGAAAACTCTTCGAAAGACAATAAATGATCTCCACTGCCCTATAAAACTTCAAAACAATTATAGTTGAGTGTGGGGTGTGGGTGTGGATGTGGGGTTGTGAGTTGATGTGGATATGAGTGTGAGGAAGAGAATGACACACACACACACACACCCTAACTTTACCAGCTAAAGTGTTTTGAGTCTATCTCCATCACAACAAAAGCGTTTTGAAACAATTTTTGTATGAAAACGGTTGGAATTAAAAGCTCTACAAACGCTGAAGATTTTGTCAAAATTGGAGATCATTTTGGTACAATGTGCTTGAGATATCATAGAAATATACAGCTGTAATGCTAAAAACATTCGATCTCCTTGGAAACAGGATATGTGTCCGAACCCTTTTCATGGTAAACATAGTTCACTGAGCTCTATAACATGAGCCCATTCTTGACTCGAAAGCGTTTCGACAGTTTGATTTGTTCCCTCGTAAGCAATGAAAATTAGGTCTACCGCTTAGCACGTTGAAGATGATAATATTCTGGTTAAAAGATAGAAGAGGGTTCGTGGTATTCGGAGAAAAGTCATCAGAAACCTTTTATATAAACATTGGTTTGCCTCAAGGCAGTAGTCTGAGTCCATACCTATTTATCATGTTTCATTGTGATTTAGTTCAACGTTTAGGAGCACGTTCAGGTCATCTTTTCGCGGATGATCTGTGTGTTATTATAAGACCCCTATCTCAATAAAACTAGACCCTATGATCAAATATCTACAACAAGGAGGTACTCGAGTGTGTGAACGAATATTTGCATATTCAAAAAAAATGGAAGCAATCTATAAACATGTTAAAAACAGTGGCGCAGTTATTTTATACACAAATAAAAAAGCCAAGAGTAAACATAAAAGTGAACCGACAAAAAAACGAATTAGTAAACGAATTTAAATACCTAGGATTCATATGAACAAGCAAACTATCCTTGAAACCAACACCCAGGTCGAACACCCACGGTCGTAAACGACCGTTAACGGAGAAAAACGGAGATATACGGAGACCGTAAACGGATCCCGTATAC